AGCCACCATTTGCAATTCATCATACTGTTCATAATGTGCAATACAGGTGGTGCTGACTTTTCTTGTGAGTGACCCTTTAGGAGTGGAAGGAATTAAAACTCTTGAGCTTGAAGTCTAAGTATGTTGATGGTAAGTCTGGCTTTAATGCATTAAGTGTAGCACAAAAAAACCCAACAGGAACATGGTTATGAAGTAGTAAATCACTACAGTTCAGCTTTGATCATAAAAAATGGATGGGTTGACTGGCCTTATCTTGGATCTGTATTTTTTGCCTTTTTGCTGTCAGGCAGAACTGGCATACAAGCGTAAAGACAGCAGAAACTTGACATCTTATGTTTTGGCTATTTGTTCAAACTCCAATACAGAGGTTGTGGAGCCACTGAGGTTGTGGCTCAGATTAATATTAATTAAAGTACATACTTACAGTCCATTTAAGTTTTGGAAGTCATTTCCCCAACTATATCTTTTCTTTTTTGTTAATTATTTACTCTGTTACATTGTTAAACTGATGTAACTCCCTTGCACAGATACTGAACTCTTTTATTGCCTTAACTTTAGCCGCTTCCAAAGCAGCAAAAGCTAAAAAGCACCATACAATAATTTAGTGTCACCTTTCTTCAGAGCAATAGACTTCTCTGGGAAGCCAAGTCCCTAAACAATCCTTGGCACAAGCTGTCTCCTACCGGTTCTACACTTTTTACGGGTTCTACTCTTTCTTGTTGCACCTTGGGATCAACAGGTGTTCTCCAGGCAAAGCAAAGATGGGAAAGTAATATAAGAAAGCACCAAAATGTACATATGCATGACGATTAACACTGGAACCTGCAACTTGTAGACCTTTATACAGCCGAGGATCCACACCTTTATTGTTTGTTTTGTTTGAAGGAAAGTAAGTCACATTTTGTAGCATTAGGCAGCAGTCAAGGGGCCTAAGGGAATGCGTCCATTATGAACGAGCTCAAAAGATCTTTCTAATGTTGTTACAGTGGGGAACAAACCCCACAAATGTGAGGTGGTCCGTATGCCTATCCAAGGATTTGTTTCATCATTGTTTATAACATGGAACTGTTTTACTGTGCCTTCTGTGAAGCATTCCAGTATTTGAATGTTTATCCCTAGCAGCAAGTTCTGGTTTTCAAAGACCAGAATACCTGCCTCTACCCGAGAAACAGGTAGTCACACTTTACCTCTTGTCAGTATAAATGCTAACAAAAGGGAAGCTTAGGAAAAAAAATGCAAATGTTGTGAGACTATGGCCATTTTTAGTGGTTAAAAAAACTGTTGTAAGCTTGCCTAAAAATGTGAAATATGCTGAAAGGAGAAGCCAAAAATCTTTCCTTTGTAGGACCCTCCCAAATGTCTGGAATTTGTTAGTCTTCCTGAGCGTGAGAAAGAGATTTTTCAGTCATACATTCGTCTTTGACATGAAAACATTGAATGTCTCTTAAACTGTCTCAGATTTCTAGCTCTGAGTTTCTCCAAGTGTGCAATTTCTAATCTCTAAGGCCACCCATAAAAATGAGATAGATAGTTTATGTTGTGATACACTGAAAAAATATATTTTCTATATCTGTGTGTTCAAAAAAGTAACCTAAGTTCAGTGGAGGACTTGGAAAACAATTCATAATGAAGTATAGATGTATAATTGGCATTCGTGTGTAACATTTGCCTCAACACATAACATTGTGAAGACTATAAATTTGTTCATAGCCAAGGCATTTAAGTAAGTGTTACAGACATGCCGTTGCCTCAGACTGAGCTGATAAGGAAATGTAAAAAAGCTATATATGAAGTATTAATTCAGTCTTGGTGCACAGCGGGTTTCACTATGAAAACGATATTCCATCTGAGTAAGGCAATAGAAACTGGAAAGCATTACTATAAATAAAATAAGCAGTTGCCTAATCATTATAGCGCAGTGTAACTATACTTTTTAGAATCAATAATTTCTTTTCCACATTCTTGATTAATTTAGAAAAATTAGGTGGCTTCCTAATGACTCTAGCTTTTTTATTAGAAACATCTGAAGTAGAAATGGCAAAGTGATAAGGAAAAAAAGCGTGCCTTACTATAATGGAGCACATTGCTTCTGGAGCAATTCTAGAACTGGCAGCCACTGGGGAATGCTGCTCTGTGGTGTTGCCTGACATGGTGCACAGACAGATGAATACAGGGGTGTCCAGCACTGTACAGCTAGGTAGGGAAAGAAATGTGTACAACTGCTTTAAAACTTCTTACTGCTGACACTGTGATAGTCAAAGGCCTGTACCAACAAAGACTGGAAACAGAAGTATCAGCTCGTACTTAAGTACACTGACAAATGAAATGAAAAGGACAATTTTCAGGGTAGTTTCTTACACTGAATCATTTCCAAACTATAATTATTTGTATATCTATTTCTATCATACACAGACAGAGATAATGCCAAAGCTATGTTTACCATGTGTAAGCTATTACCTCAGCACCACAATTTTTTGAAGCTTATATGATTTTAAGTTATTGTCTATATTTAGCTAGGAACAATTTCATAAGAAAAAACATCTGCATAAAGAGATCAGTTGGGTTAAAAACAAAGTATTTAGAAGTTAGAAGGAGACAAAAAGCACAGAAGCACATGTGCTCTTGAAATGCTGGTAAGAGACAAATACCCACCAGAATATTTAAGTGTCCCAGAGTTAATGGAGTCAACTTGATAAAACAGCTGTGAGATTAAAGAGAACTACTATCCCCACTTCACTGGTAGGAAATTGAGAGGGAGAGTTTGCATATAGCTAAGGCACATTTAAGTTTTTCATTTAGTTTTGAGACATAACTAGATTATTTTGATTTAGGGACAATGGGCTCTCTCTCCAAACAGCTGACAAAAACCTTAACTAAGCCATTAGTATTTATGGTTGTTGCTGAAGGGGATGATCCTGCTCTCTATCCTGTCCCACGCACTCCTGGTGCTTTTCTTGTGTTGGATCTAGTAGTTGTGCCGCTGGATCTGCACGCTGAGCCAGCAGCTGCTGCTGTGCCATTGCAAGATGTGATCCAATGGGAAGGAGGGGAACGCGCAAGCAGGAATGGACAGAGCAGAGGGAGATGGACTGTTTTGTGACAACCTGCACTCAGGTATATTAGTGTGAATCACGCCTGGAAAACTTCGACTCCTATAAGCAGATCCTCTGTATTGTCACTAGTTGAACCCCTTACTGCAAGCCAGAGGTATTGCCGGGCAACAAACTGGAATGTTTAGAGCAGAGCACCTGCTTTGGCAGAGGTATAGGAATGCAAGCAGATTGCCACCACTTCTTATATCCAGCTCTCTGGATGGTGAGGCAGAGAGATGAGATACTTTGTGGGATCACAGAAATATGTAACAGATTATGCATCCCATACAAAATGCATCCATCTCACAGATTATACATAAAAGAAAAAAAAAAGAAAGAAAAAAAAGGACTAACCGCATAAATGGAAATCCCATCAGCGTAGCATTGTGAGGCAGTCCTCCATGTCCATTCAGATCTGGTAAAATCTGAGTCAGCTGAAATACTGTGATCAGTTTTGAGCATTTAAAAATGCAACTTGTTTGGAAAGACTCCAGAGGGAAAGTGATACAAACAATCAGAGCCCCAGTAAACACAGTTTGTTACTCTAGAACAGCTATAGAAAGGCATAACAAATTTCAGATATGTAAGAAGTATCTATAAAAAGGAAGGGAATAACCTGTTCTCCAGCACAATGACACAAAGGCTGGATTTAAGTTACAGCAAAAGAGACATCAGGGTTAAACTACATGTAGTCCCTTTGTAATAGTAAGAATAGGAAAGCACTTGAACAGATTGCTTAAGGAAGATGTAGAACTTCTGTATTTGAAAGGTTTTAAGCATATATGGAACAAATATTAGCATGTGAACCCCAAATTACTTGGCTTAAAAAAACCCACATAATTTGATGACCGCTGAGTCTGGTTTCTAGGACTTCTGTATTCTTTCTTCTACAGTTTACAATATTAATCATCAGTTCTTACAAAGTGAGAATTGTATCTGTGGCATTCTGTCTGTTCCTCAAATTCAGGCCCTTGACAAACTATTATTTCTCTTCTAATTCAATTTCATCAAGTGTCAAATTTTACAGTTTCTCCAAATCACTAAAGTACTACTTCTAGGACTCGCTATCTCATGTGTAGATCAAAGTTAAGTACTCTTTGTGCCTTTCTGCCTCTGGCACCTCAGCGTGTGGAAATGTCTACTCTGAGAAAACTCTTCTGTTCTTCAGCCTAACCCTCTGAGGTGCCCCCCACGGGCACCCTGCTCCCCTCTCCCTCCCTGTCAGGGTTTCATTCTTCTTCGGGGTTCTTAAGACAAGCATATGTCTGAGCTCTTGACTACACAAGACCACTCGCTGCCTCTGCTTTTACTTCCTCTCCTTGTTATGTGAATTTTTGTACTGAAAACGATGGTACCCCTGCAGTTTTGGGGAGCTCTGTCCCCATTAAAATTTATACATCTGTTATATATCTATACATCTATTTATAAATCTATACAACTTTCTGACTTTTTCCTCATCATTTCCACACAGTGGGTTGTCTTTATAAAAGTCAATCTCTAGACAGGTTCTTGCCTTCTGTGTTTAAGCGTGGTATTAGACAGTCCTATATACACAAAGACCATAAACAAAGACATACCAATTTTCCAACGGGATCTTTATGATTACATTGCTACAGCAGCAATCCTATGCCATGACCCCCACTAAGCCCTCCACACCGTGCTGCCCTCTCAGCCTCAAGCGAAAAGAGTAGACTCTAGGCTGTAGGGGGAAAGAAAAGAACAAAAATGATGTTCCTCGGTTTCCCCTGCGAGGAAGGGAAGAAAAGTAAGTGACCCCGACGTGATTCGAACACGCAGCCTTCTGATCTGGAGTCAGACGCGCTACCGTTGCGCCACGAGGTCCTGCTGGGCACGGGCCGTCTCAGAGTTAGAAGTGGCCCATTCCGGGCCATCGGCCGCGCGACCCCCGGGGCTCGAGGAGCGGGGCGGGTGAGGCGAGTTCGGGCCGCCGCGGGGGTGCGGTTGCCGCACCTGATCGGCCAGGTCCTCTCCCGCTCCGGCCCTTCTCCTCCGCCGCTATTTCGCTTCCCGCTTTCCCGAGCAAGTGCGTTACACGTCCCCACCCACATCCCCGATACCGGCCCCCAGCAGCAAAAGCCTCCCGCCCCCGCCCCCGCCCCCTGGTGGTGCCGAGCTCGCCTCCCGCGCCGTTGCCGCCGTACGCAGGCTCGCGGGCCCCTACTCCCGCTCCCTGGAGGTCATTCCTGTCGTTCCTCTGCCGAAAGCCCCCCGTTCCTACCTCCCACCGCCGCGGAGTGTTTGTGTGGATTTGTATAAAGGCACTCCCACAAAACAAGCATCCAAGGCAGTTCCTCGTTAGTATAGTGGTGAGTATCCCCGCCTGTCACGCGGGAGACCGGGGTTCGATTCCCCGACGGGGAGGCCAAGAACTAGTTTTTTTCCCCTCCCGCCGCGGGGGGGCGCAGAGGCGGTGCCAGCGCGCGGAGCATTTTTCGCGCGGAGTTGAACGGCCGGCCGAGCGCGGCGCGCGGCAACAAAAAACGCCCGCGCGAGCCAGCGCGGCCCTCCCCGTCGGGGAATCGAACCCCGGTCTCCCGCGTGACAGGCGGGGATACTCACCACTATACTAACGAGGAGCCGCGGGCCACAGCGGCCCCCGCGCCCCCGCTCCCTGCGGGGGAGGGGCCGGCCCTGCCCCGCCCGCGTCCGGGCTCGTGTTCTCCTGGATCCTGCGGGACCTGGCGTGGGCGGGGAGAGGTGTGGTGCTCCCACCGCGGCCCTTGGCTGCCCTCCCGCCCCATCGCCCGCGAACCTGCGGGCACGGAACCCTGGAAACGGCAGCGCAAGGGAGCTGCCGGACTGGAGGCGGGGCGGGGGGATCGGAGCAGCACCAGGGGCTCGGGTGTCTTTGCGTTTCTAGTTTTGCATCTCGTTCACGCAGAGTTTCTTTTTACGGGAACCTGAGAAGCCCTGGAGTCAGCAGTCCTTGAGGTGAAAGGACCCGAGCACCTGCTTCTTACCTACCTAAAAAAGGAACGAGGGAAATGGAAACCAGCTACTTTGAGATTTGAGAGTAAAAGGCAGGACACAGACTGACCATCTGTCTTGATGCTGACCCGGTCAGCAGAAACATGGTTGTAAGTTTGTATGGCAGTGACATTAGACAGGAAACTATATTTAATTTGCTGGCTTCTTAGATGAAGAATTAACACCACATAATAAACAAGTGCTTGGAACAAATGGTGTTCTCTTTTGATGGGCTCCACTACTGCTAATATTTCTTTGGATACAAGGACCCCAGCTTAGCTTTTTCAGGTAATCATAGCTAAAGACCAAACAGCTACCGATACGTAGACTTCCAAATATAAGTGTCCTGTAAACAAAGCATTTCTGAGAATTGGCCCTCTAATTTAAATGTTTGAATAGGAACATGTGTTTCTCAGTGCATGCAACAGATTCAAATTTTGCCCTGACAAGTGAAAAATATAACAGCAGTCTCATAATAATTTCATTACTTTAGATGTAGTGTAATGAGATGTATTGGAGGGCTGTGGTCAGGTGATAGGCTTTAAACCTCCAAGAGCAGGATCAAAATCGGCGTTGCCAGGCAGGTCTACGCTTACTGTGCGTGCTCAAATTTTATTTAAAAGATATGAATGGTTCACTTGAAGCTGGGAGAATTTCTGGTAGATCAAACATTTCATGTTTGAATTTTATAGGACCACTCACACTTAGTTTAGATCTTTTTGCCAGTCACTTCTCAGTTGCTTCTCTTCATTAATCCCTGTGGTTGGGGAGCTGAGCTGTGTCCCCTTGTGTAAGTTGTGGCACTTGCTGCAGCCAGATCTTCCCTTACTGCTGCTCTTTGCCTCAGGCTCCTGCATGGATGTCTTCTTGGGCTGTCCTCTCTTGGAACAGGACTTCTGCTGTCTCCATAACAACTCTTGCAAATTTTTGGCATCTGCTAAGCGCTTCCATAATACCAGAGCCGGGCTTACAGCAAGGCATTTTATTGTCTTCTTAATTTTGTCTGTGAGGGCCAAAGCAGATCTGGCTGGGAGTTCTGGACCTGCTGGAGACCTGGGGAAAGCCTATGGTGTGACAGGCTCTTGAAGCACCATTTTCAATAGTTCAGTAGATTGGCCTTGAGGTTATCAGTTACTCCCTTCAATTTGATGTCATCCACCTCTGTCACCTGGTGATGCCTATTTGCCTTGACAAGTAACATATATTATTACTGACATGTTGAGGTTCAGCACAGCTGATGTCATCATGGCAATATGACCTGTGATGGAGCCTTCTGTAGCTGCAAATTTATTCTTCTAAATCAATGTAAAACCACAAACCTTAGATGAGAAGTGAAGCCCTTCTCTAGGTGTGGTCTTTAGGATGCCCCAGTCCCAAACAGCTGCTGCAAATTGAATATATTTGATTCTGATTAATCCTCATAGCTATTTTGTATGCTCTTATTCCTGCCCATTCACACATATCCAACGCTTCATCTACTATTTGTGTTTTCTTTTTAATTCTCCTTTATTTTCCTTTTAATTTTTGTCTGTACTCGCACCCTGTAAAGTTCACAGCACAGGATTTAATGAGCTTTTCAGTAAGAATGTATGAGTTATCAAATGACATATTAAGTTACAGGACTTCTTTCTGTGTAGTTTTTGACCTTATACCATTTCTGTCCAGTTTAATGGATTTGTCATACAGTCTGTATGACTCAGTGATCTCTTTCTGTGGTAATGTATTTTGATCAAGCTAAAATGAAGTTTTAGAAGTTATTAGAAAAATCAATTTACATCACTTAAGGGAATGAGCGATCAGACATCCTGTGTGAATTAACAGCTGAAGAGCTGAAGAAATTTAAGGTAAAGAGGACTGTGACATTGTACGTCAGTGCCTGGTGGATTAGTGGGAGGAGGAACTTAAGGGGCTTTCCCCTATTAGCATACCTAGTATAGTTTATGCAGTATTAAATGCAGCCACAGAGCTGGGCGGTTTCCCCTCTGTCTTGAATCATGTGGATTGTCTAATAAATGGAGCCTTTTAAAAACTCGTTGGAGGAATCTCAGGGCTTGAAAATTTATGTCTCAAGAACTGTGAAATAAAATAGACAAGAAGTGCCCATGCAGAATTGCATTTTCTGTTTTGGGTAAAAACTACTCCAAAGGAACAGTTGAACAGTTGAATCTGGGCACTTTTATTCCTATAGCATGATTTAAATCCAATGGATAATTCCAATAAGAATAATTTCTTCTCAGAGGCAATCTGCGTTCTCATCACTTTTGCCCTCAAAAGGGATTGTCAAGGAAATGTACTGAAGAGGTATCATAAAACCGGGGAGGTTGGCTGGTTTTAATGAATAATTTAAAATTTACAACCACAAAAACTGAGAGATGCCCTGCTTAGAAATAGGATAGGACTTAGTAATTAAAAGAAAGAAGGTTTATCAAGTTCATGTGCAGAATACACCTCTTTTTGTGTACAAGATGTATTGTTTCAGAGTAATCCCAAAAGAGTGTTTGTGCAACAAAGCCTTTAGACACATATCAAGATACTCCAAAATCCAAATAGATTGTGTACTAATGTAAGTATTCCTGTGTAATGCAGTTCTGGATACTAGAATATGTCTACCATATGACTACAAGAATAATCATAACTTTCTGGCTGTGAGGAAAGACTGCAGTGGACCCAAACAATTTCACCATTGGTCTGACTTGGTCTGAAATAGCATTGGCATTTCTTAGAATCTCGAGATTGTCAATAATTAGCTTCAAAACAAAAAGAGTCAGTATGCTGCAGTAGTGAAAAATCAGTCAGTAAAAAAAGAGTCAGTATGCTGAGCAAAGAATGAATAGAAATCAGTTTGGGTTTTATCTGACCTCCCTGACAAGGGAAACTAACCTCACCTTGAAAACACGGTGGGAATGTGTAGTAGAAGTGAAGAAGGATATTTACATGTTTTGCTGCTTTTGTGAAGGTTTTGAGAAGTTTTAGTATGATAGAAAGATATGCATCACTGAAAAATGTATTAATGACTCAAAAAACTCAGTTTAGAAAACACTGTAGCTGAGAGACAAAGCAGCATTGTGAGCAGATACTGAAACATTCTAGTGCATCATCAAGGTACATTTTGCCTGTAAAAGCATTTAACATTAAGTAGAAAGCAAACCAAATGAATGTTTGGAATCTTTTAAATGACGTATGAGTTAACGGAGCTTATATGAAGAATATATGTATATGTCTATTTATATGAAGAATATATATATATATGAAGAATATATATGTCTGCTAGAAATCTTGCTTTAAGAGTTCAATTAGAGAAGACCTTCAGAGCTTGAAGAATGTTTTGAAAATAAACGAAGAGATGAATATTTAAAAACCCAGAAGTGCTAAGAATAGTCTCAGCAAAAGACAAAGTTGACAACTCATTTATTTTAACTACCAAACACTGGATCAAAGCTACCAGCACTCTATAATTTGTTGTAGTGCTGGCTTCACTGTGCATTTCTGGTTCTCCAATTGTCACCATTTGCTACTTCATTGTGTTGTGGATGTGGAACAGAAGAATAGCTCCCTTTCTAGGCAAAACTATGGCTTCGTGGGGTAATAGTTTCCTCCCTTCTCCTTTTCTTATGATGCAAGGACCATATGGCATGGAAACCACATTATTTTCCTTACTTAGGGGTATATTCCAATGATTGCAGTAATCCATGTGCATAGGGAAACCTGGAGAAACCTGAAGTGGTCCTCATAACTAGCAAAAACCCATAAGGCTTAAATCTCATTTCAATAGTTGATTTTTATCCTTGCCATGTGTTGTACTATTACTTCCATTTCTAACTTCTCCACTTGGCAGTTTTTTTGTCTTCCTTTTCACTATTCTTCCTCCCCTCACCCCACTTTTTTTTTTTGTTTCACTATTTCCTTTAGAAAAAATAGGATGCCCCATGACTTGGAAGTCATGGGAGTGCAAAAGAGCGATCTGAAGGCTGGAAGAAACTGCTAGTCCTGTTAAGTCATGCCAGTCCTGGAACTGGCTTCTTTGGCTACTGATGCAATTTTTGATGGGTGAACAAGTAGTAGAAGGGAAGTGGATAGATTTTTCAATAAAAATAAAATAAAACATTAAAAAGCCCTTACAGAAATTAATTGCCATTTCCAATGTTATTCATGATAGAGAAAAGCAAATGTGTACATTCACCAGAGATTGCTCAGGATGTGATGGATGGTTAACCATCTTGCTCAGTTGTGAAACTCTGACACTTAAAGATGCAGAAATTAATCAAATTGCACTTTAAATCTGAAACAAGAGATGAATATTTAAAGTCAGTTGAATAGCCAAAACAACAAATGAGGAACTGTTGGGAATTATGTGCTTAGAGCACAGCTAATTGAAGTAAGAGCTTAACACTATGATGTATCTGGAATATATTGCTCAACAATCACCAAATTACTCTTAGTTCTAGCAAAATCAAAGAAATAGCATTAAGAGGAAAGGTATCAGATGCATTGCTAGGTGGAGTCACAAGACATTTTACAGCTTTCTCACAGCTAATAGGGATGGGAGATGGTGATCTACAACCAGCTCCCCTGGTTTGGAGATGTCAGTTTTAAGAGATGAGAAAAAGGCTGAGGAATTCTTGTGGGGCAAAATATGAAGGAAGACATTGTCAAAGTGAAAATAAACAATAAAAATAATAATAAAACAATAATTAATTTAGTGCAATGCCATGCAGAATGATGCATCTATTCCTAGGGAAAAAATATAAGCAAGGTTGTTTTTCATTTACATTATTGTTCCGAATATGAGTAATTTGGAATGTGAGGATTTTTGTCTCAGGACGCACAAATGCCATGCTTCGGAACAATAGTCTTTATTTCTTTGCCGTTTGCCATTTTGCAGGATGATGATCTTTCCCTACGTGTTTGGTTTTGTTGTTTTTTTTTTTAACTCAGAATTTCAAGTTTGCAATTGCACTGGCACCCTCTGGTGGCATTCTGAAGTGCTCTACTTTACAGTTCAGTAAAATTAGATTTGCATTTGCTTTGGTAGAGGAAACGTGAAGTTACTATTTTATAGAATTGTTATATTAAAATAGGAGAAACAAAGAAACAAAGAATAATATATCATAACTCCAATTCAGCTTACACAAAACGAGCTCATAAAATGAAATCCTAGCAATCTGGGTCAAAATGTCTGGACAAAACATCTTTCATTTCCCCTCCCTCACAAT